GGGGGAGGACTATTTAAAGAAAGCTTGCACTGTATGATTTGAAAACAGTTATTTGCCCAGGAGCATTTGAAAGTGTTGCACTCGGATGACACTGGATTACTCATTTTCTTTAAGACTACGCACTCGTACCAGAGACTAATTCAGAAAGTCACTTAAAGTAATCATTCTCGTTTCCCCATGTCTTGTATTTTCCCAACAAATGCCTTATTTATAACTATAACTAGTCACATCTACTAAACAACCTGTTGCAGCTTCACAGCATCAAAAAAAGGCACATTCAAAAAAAGCTCTATTGATTCAACTTCTGTTTTCATGCAGAAATGAAACAGAAACAGGTCAGAAGCGTAGCAGATGAAGTGTTGGTGTTTCTAACCGTGAGGCTGTATTTGGGATACGGTGCCTGATTTTCAGCCTCATCAGTACAAGAGGCTGAAAAGCTGGAGGTGAATACAGCAGAAGGCTGCTCTGACATTTACGGGGCTGGAGCGCGTGACACCCGAGGAGAGCGCGAGGGCCCCGGGCTTGCGTAGCCGGGAGAAGGCCAGGAGGGGATCCAGCTGCAGTCAGCCGCTGTCCGACACGTGGTCGGAGAGGAGATGGAGCAGCCCAACTCCTCGGACAGACACGCACAGTGGAAGGAGGGGAGGTGACGGGCACGAAGTGCAGCAAGGAAATTCCGACTGAATGCAAGGAACAAAGTTTTCACACCAAGGATGGTTATGCAATAGAAGAGGGGCCTAGCGTCACCGCACAAGGCCTGCCAGAGGCCCCTTCCAACCTAATCTCTTCTGTGATTCACACACCATGTCAGACACCAGTAACCTTGAAGTCACCGTAGTCCCTTCAGATGCATACAATAGTCTACGCTGAATAACTGTCACCAATTTTAGTACATTTTTGCAGGTCAACATCTAATGCCACATCTTTATTTAAAGGATAATTTTTCGAAAACTGATTAAAATACAGATTTACTTACAGACAAGTGATGAAGGGGAAAAGAGAGTATAAAATGAGAACTATCCAGAACACTGTTCTAGGATGACCGAAACTTTAATTGCTGTTGTGATCTCAGTCAGGGTGCCTATGTGGCAAAACTGACAAAAACGCTCCTGGAGACCGAAAGACGTTCCATCAGATCAATTAGCGTCATCCTAGCAGGACCGGATTCCTTTTCGCCCATCTTGGCGCTCACAACAGTGCCGGCTTTCCAAAGCTGATCTGCTATTAATTCAATATAAGGATCACACTGATATATCTAAGATTTTGATAACAGGCAGCTGAAGATAAAAATCGATCATTGCTATTTGCAGCATCAGATGCTGCTGAAAGATGACACCACACTAAATGTGTCTGTGCCAAAAAGCATTTAATTCTCTAGTTGTATAGGGTTAGACTAAAATCCAAATCCGTGACAGAATGTGAGATCGCAACTGTGGGAGAGAAGAGCCTTTTATTAGAAGGTCACCCTGTGGTGACAAGAAAGGCTTCTCCATGCACTTATTTTGGAACCTAGAGTTGCCTGTAGGGATGAGCTGAGAGAGCTCCCTGGAGCCATTAACGGTCTACCATTTAAATATGCAGTCATCTTTTTAAGAGCCGTATTAATTACACAAATGGAACACCACAGCTCTGCTGGAGCCAGTCCAGTTGACTGCAGATTTACCCATTCAGGCTATCCGTGCAGAGCCGTAGGCGCTCAGAGGCCCCTGCTTCGTTTGGCCTGTCTTACGATAAAGAACAGAAGCCCTCGGCAAAAAGCTCCTAAGTGTTGCCTGGTCTAAATTCTTGTTTAGAAAAGTCTAAGAAAAACATCAGTTTTGTGAAAACAGTAACAGGTGGGTCCAAGGGTGGAGAAGGTAATAAAATGTGAGCAATAAACCTCCCCTTATACTTTGATACACTATTTTTTTAAAAGGAGTACCATGCTAAGTTTATTATGGATTTCAGTATTGTTATTTGCATTACCCAATCAGCACCGGAAAGCAAAGTCCAGTGGTATGTGGTACCATGCCAGGTGGGACAGTGCTCACCCCAAACAGCCTAGACAAACCACAAGACTGCCAGATATAGGCAGGACACTTCAGGAAGCCAGTGAGCCAACATCAGCAAACAGCCAGTGGCCTCAGCACACCAAATCCTTTCTTCTGTTAAGCCATAGCAGGGGCCAGTTTGAAGGAGTACACCAAAATAAAAATAACAATGTGATCTTATAGATTTTTTCCAAGGATGTCCTCCCTCTCAAATGTCACCTGTCTGGACACCTGAGGGAATGGGGGAGGTCAGTCCTACAGGCTGATTGCAGCACCTAGACCTCTTATACCAAAGAAGAATGACAGAAAAGGTGCGGAGAGTCATGAAAACGAGACATTGGTATTTCCATGGGATGCTGCAGAGAAAGTGGAACAATAGAGGGGAAACAGCACAGTCAATTAAACTAGCAAAGGATTTACTTTTTGCAGCAAAGAGTATCAGTGAGACCAGGTTGCTCAGTATAATCTAGTCCCAGAAATCAAAGCACGCATTTTGTCAATTTTGTCAAATTAGCTCTCACAACTGATGATTTTCAGAAACTCATCAGCTTTAAAGGAAACTTTCAAAAGGAAAGTGGGATTTACAATGTCCTTCCATCTCTCTGAACAAGCTTGCTGAGTAACAAAACTAGATTTTCAGTTTTCTCTAAAAGTATTCTTCTCTACTCAGTCTTGACAGCAGCAGAAAAATCCTTGTTTTGTTATGCTTTGCTTTTCAAAGCAATTGCTATTACATATCTAGGGTGAGTTCTACAGTCAGAAAGCTTGTCATGAGACACATTTTATGTGTTCTTCATTCAAGCCAGTTAAGCTAATACAGTGTTACTCAAAAGACCTGTTCTTGAAGCCCTGAAAGGATATTTCTTCCCTTCTCAAAAAAAAGAAAAAAAAAAAGAAAAAGAAAAAGAAAAAAAGTTAGAGTTGTGGCTGGGAACAACTCACTGCAAACACGTTTTGAACTACTACTGGAACTAACTGTCGATTTTAAGAACCTGCAACCATACCAGTCTGATAAGGGGCACATTCATCTACAAAAAGAGTGTAATTTAATCAGCAGCCATTAAGTGATGAATTACTATCCTAGCAGAATTAAACTAAAGAAATGAGATACTCGGTACACAAATGCATATTTTTCAAGATTATAGGAGGCTGCAATCTACAAAAAGGCAACCGTCCTCTGCTTTGCAGAATACTTGTATTTCTGTGAACAGCATGTCAGGAGCAACAAGACCAAAGCTTCTGAAACTGACTGCCTTGTGCTAGGAAAGCATCCCAAAGACCCTTAGCAAAGCTGGGGAACAAGCAGCCCTGCGAGCG